CCCCCGCCCCCTCCCCCCACAGGTGCCATCCGCCGCCATCCGCCCTCTCTGCCCCCCCATCCCCAGGTGAGGGGTGTGAGTTCAGGAAGCGGAGACCCCGAGGAACCCAGCAGGGTCACCATTTGCAGCGCAACATGGCAGGTAAAGGAGAAATCACCCTCGTCCACTGACAAGGCACCGCTTCCTTCCTCCTCCCTCCATCACCCCCTAGCGACCGCCGGCGCCTCCGGTGGAGCCACGGGGCGCCCCTTGGATTTCAGGGAATTGGTCAAGTAGGGTGGGGCGGGGTGGGGACGGTCCTGAGCCGAGGGGGCCGCTGTGATAGCGAAATGGCTTTTAAAATGAGGGTTGGAACCTTGGCATGGGTGGGGGTGGGGAGTGCGGGCGGGCACAGTGTAAGGCGTGGGTGGGGCGGGGTGGGGGCGAGTGCAGATTTGTCCCTCCAGCTCTGGCTCTCGGTGTCACCGCCGCCGCCAGCCCCGGGCTCCGGGCAGCTTTGCGGATCTTCCTTTAATTCCTGTTTTTCCCCTAATGCAAGCCTTCTTGGGCGTTTATACTAAAAGATTTTGTGCTGAGAAGGAAGACTGCTTTACAAGTTAAAATACAATGGGGACGTGTGTCTTATTTTTTTCCCTTCTGTGGGTACGTATAGTTTTGAGATTGTGAGCCTGTATTTTTTTTTTTCCTTGAATCATCTCCCTTTCGTGTCCTACTCTTTACGTGCAAAGAGTGCAAGGCCTTTAATACAGCAAGTTGCATGAAAGATGTGATTTAAACTTTCCTTTTTGCATGTTAGCTTTCGTGCAGAGGTCCTTTTCCCAAAAGGGTTTCGCAGAGTTAGTTAAAATAGTTGTGGAGTTCAGTGATATAAATAGCAAAGGGGAGAGAGATTTAGGTAAAAGCTTGCCGGGGCAGGATTGGGGTGGTGAGGAGACTGGAGGACTAGAGAGAAAACCAGGTTTGACTATTCAGCAAGGAATGGAGGTGAAGGAAGAGAAAGGTAATTGCATTCAGTATCAGTTTTGTACGTTTTAATGTTGCCTAACCTCTTCCGAGTAGAATCAGTTTATATTCGTAGTGGAATCAATTTAGATCTAGATTCAGTTCCCTTCTCCGTAGATCCAAGATACTTCAGTGAGTGGCAGATAAATAGACATGAAGAGAAATAGACACATTCAGGGAATAAATCAGTTTTCTGTACTTTTTAAAAATATTTAAATAATAAAACATTTTTAAAAGTTACCACATTAAATTGACTTACACTTTGCCGTAAACAAGTTGCTGTTGGTTGTCTTCGTTGAATGATTTAGTGAAATTAAAATTGTTTTGCACAAGATGGTGAGAAACTAGCAAAATTAATTCTTTGCAAGGTCCTTTGGATTGTGAGGAATACGATGAAGGAAGGGAAAACAGGCTTCCTTTGACAGTATCTCACCAGCATTCATTTCGGTTTCTTTTCCTCTCTGGCTGGACTTAATGATTTGCTGGTAATGAAATGCAAAGAAATGGGTGGTGAGTGTTTGTTTGCTGTATGCGCGCTTTGGTGATAGCGTTCATGTGAATCATTACTCCTCACCCAGGCGGTAATGTTCCTGAAGTTTTCTCTCCGTTCCATGTTTTATGGTAGTTTAATCTTATTAACTCTTCTGCAGGCTTTTTGTACACTTAAAGGAAAACTCTCTTAACTTTCGGTATTTACTTTTTTCTGGTAGGTCTTCCTTGAATGTAAGGTTTTTACTATATTTGAGGGGAAGGGAAAATGGAAGGGAAACTTTGAACCATGTATGATGTTAACGATAGTACATGGCCTTTAAATATTTAATACCTGGAATCTCTCTTTTTTAATGCAGTACCGACTCTTGGCGACTAACCTTTTTCCAAATTAGTGCTCTAGGGTGGTGGTAGTATGTGGGCAGTACTAGACTATTATACGTGCTAGCCATGGATACCATCTCTATGTTTACGTGAGTAAACAGGAACAGAGCTCAGTTTTAATTGTTATATTTTTTCTTTTTCCAGGAGCTGGAGGAGGGAATGATATTCAGTGGTGTTTTTCTCAGGTGAAAGGAGCAGTAGATGATGATGTAGCAGAAGGTAAAAAGACGTTTAATAATGCAATATTTGAATACAGAATCTTTTCAAAATCTTCATTTTTGAAGTATTTCCTTGCAGCTGAATCTGTTACATAGTTTAAGAACATTTCTGTTTATTGTCTAAGAAATGGAAGAATAGTTTTAAAAGTTACCTTTCTGGAAAATTGTCTTAAATCTTTTATTTATGACTTGTTTTATTAATATTTTTCCTTGAGTTATATGAAAGGGGCAGTAGATAATATGTAGATAAAACCATCACAAGAAAAATCTGTGGTTCATATGTTTAAGGTTTCCTTGCCATATAAATTCCACATACAAATAAAAGGTGCTTTTTCATGTTTCTGCATTGCTTTTAGGTAATTGTATTTAAGCAGGCACCATTAGCATTCAGCTTAGAAACATTCTTGACAGCATCTATTATTTTTGAGGGGAGATTTTTAGATTTTTTTCAACGTACTACTTTGAGAGTGTGGTGTTGATTGACATATTCTATGAAGAAATACTGGCTCAAATGACACACTTTTTTTGTCTTGTAAGGATTACTTTAGGTGGATAAGAAAATAATGCTGTGGGTGTATGGCATGTCTTCTGGGGAGCTTATTGTGCAGTTAGAAGCTGGATTAATAGGTTCAAGTACTTAAGTCTTAATTTTTCCCAAAAGTTTATTAGAGTATTTCAAAAATCTTAAGTTTTGAGACTTTAGGGTTTTGCACTTACTTGATTTGAGATGGTCTTAGGTGGAGAAGGCATTGTTTCCCATAAAGAAGTTGCATTACTTCATAATTCAGAAATATTTAAACTTAGAATGTTTATAATATTCTTTGTCTTGAATTAACAGTAGAAATTTTCTAACAAAACAGTTTAACTAAAACATGCTTTTTAGTCTATAATGAAAATTTATAAATCATCTCCTAGATTGTATTGTCTTCATATTAAGATTGTATTTCTGACACCTGCTGTCTACGAATACAGTTTTGTTTTAAGAATTTTTTTCAGGTGATGGTAGGATGTGTTTTGTGTTGAGCCAGCCGAATGCTTGGATTTCCTTGTGTCTGTGTCACTCTTTATGAAGTGTCTGATAAGAGTTTGGTGAGTCCAGTGGGGAGCCAACTGGCATATATTGTGAAACTTAACTGAGCACCATCATGTTCTTTTCCAGTAAATCCTCATCTCTTCTTCAGGTAGGAAACCAGCAGCCTAAAGTAGTTAGGAGACTCATTGATGGTCACACAAATAGTGCAAACCAAGGTTTTCTGGTGACCTGTCGTGGTTGACTTGTTTATAGAAGTAAATCCTAAATTCAAGGGAGGAGTCATGTGTTACTCACTTTGTCACTCCATTACCTGTTGAGTAGTAGGCACTCATACTGGATTATTAGTTCTGTGCTGTTGTGTAATACCAAGTTATGAAAGTGCTGTATACCTGAAAAACATTCCTTGGTTGATTTCTATTTTTACTGTCAAAGATCTGTTGCGGGCCTTCTAAACACTGGCCAATGGGGCTACAGTGTGTCTAGACCATAAACCCTGCTCTGAAGGAGCTCATAGTTTACTAGTTAATAGTAGGCAGAAAGACCACAAGGGTTTTACTTAATCAGAAGAAATTGGTGATTGTAAACTTCCCTAACTGAACCAATGATAGTTTGTGATATGTATGATGGATCAGTTATAGTTTTTATCTGCTAATACTTTGATGCTGCCTTTTGCTACTGATTCAGTTCATTAAATGCTTTTCATTTGAGGTTGTTAAATACTGCTTTAATATATACTACTGCATTCTTAGCATCTTAACATGCTGAGACTTGGTATGTATATTTTAATAAAAACATGACAGAAAGTATGAAAAGCACCCAATTTTCAAATTTGAAGACTCTGCTTTAATTTGGGTATTTTTGCATGCTAGAGTTTGCATGTCATAGTCTGTTATGTTTATTTTATTAATAGAATATTTGCCTTTCTGAAATAAGATTAATACATTTCCTTCTTGGTTTAGACTGTAATCTCTAGACAGGTTACACCTTTAGTTTAGCTTGCCCATGTGTGCTAACGCTCCAGCCGCAGTTCTTTCCCATTAGTGCTCCTTCGTGTAGGTAGCTGCCACGGCATACCAGCGCTTTCATCTTCTTTTCCATACCTACTTTCGCCTACTTCAGGTTCTCAGTGTCATGCATTAATATTACAATAACTTCTTAAATGATCCCTGCTTCTTATCCTGTGTTTTGCTTCTAAGTTAATCTTAAATGCAGTCCCAGTTTTATTTTCTTCTGAAATCTTCAGTGGTCACTATATCCACAGGCTTATGACTTAAGGTCAAATATTTCAGCCTAGAATGTGAGAACGTTCATCAGGATAGCCCTTACTTCTCTTAAGTTCATTTGTTGATATGGTGTGTGATCCGTCTAAATGAATACTGTTCTTCAAACACTTCAAACAAAAAGTCCTGTACACTCTTACATTGTGATATATTTATTTTTTGCTGTTTCGCCTTGGAATGCCGGACCCTCATCCCACAATTTTTTCCTTACCGTATTCATCCTTCAAGTCATGTCTCTAACCCTTTTACTTCCACCCTTTTTTGGAAGTATTTTTTAAATCTTCATAGCACTTTGTACCTGTAATATTTGGTACCTCTGCTATTATACTGTAAGCTATGTAGGACCAACACATCTTTATGCTCTCTGCAGGGCATCCTAAATAAACTGCTATGCCTAGATGCCTGGCACACAGAAGGTGTTAGTATTTGTTGAATGAAGGAATATAAATGTCACTATTACAAGGTTTTGAAGGGGGAAGAGAATTGGTAAAAGGGTAATTGAGATATACTTGTGGCATCTGTGGATTTATTTACTTGGCAGCTTTATTATTGCACTGATGATACACAATTGTCTAATAGAAAGAAGTCAGGAGACTTTGGGTTTTTATCCTAGTGACAGGCTTGTAGGTGTCACTTTGAGTAAGCTTTCTTTTGGGTTCCAGTATTCTTAGCTTTAAAGTGACAGGACTGGAATAGGTGATTTCTGTTAATCCTTACTTTAATTGTATGAAATCTCAACTTTGAGATGTTGGGTGTTTGGGGCCTTAAGAATAAGTCTATGGAACTTAGTTACTCAAGGCCAGAGTTTTTCATTATTGCAGAACTAAGAGTTTTGACATTTGACCAAATATTCTCACTGTTTTTTGGCCCATGTAGGCCCTTTCAGGACACTTGCAGCTTTTATTGGGATATTTATGCTATGCCCTGGACTCTTTAGGCACTTTGGTTACCTTCAGTATAACTGCTTGTCTGGGAGTACTTGATAATCTCATGTCATGTGGTTTTCATTTTCATTTTTGTGGTATAGCAGTAGTAGCATTTCATCATATTCCATACTTTGAATTTTTCCTTTATTGACTCCTTTCTCAGCAGACCGTAGGTAGCAGAGACAGTGGTGCTAACCTGCGTGGTTTGAATCCTACTCTTTGTCACCTACCAGCTGTGTGATTTGGGCAAGTTCACTCACCTTTTTTTGTTTCCTCCCCTGTAAAATGAGGATAACAATAAAAATCTGTCCATATAATGTTGTTTAGATGATGAAATGAGTTAATATACATAAAACAAAAAGCAGGCACATATTAAGTGCCTTGTAAGGGTTTAGTTCTTGTTACTACTTGAACTTTTATGGCAAGTAAGGAAGAAATCAGAGGAGGAAAATGTGGAGAATTGTCTTTAAAAGCTACTAAAAATTTCTCCTTGGCCAGGGTGTGTTCTTATACATATTCCTCTATTACACTAAGAGTTCAAAAAACATTCAAAACTAAGCCATAGGTTTAGAGACACCTATTCATACTCTAAAGAATAGCTACAAAGTAATTGCTATAAATATAAGCCAATATAATGGTTACCTTCAGGTAAGTGGTGGGAGGGAGTTGTGATGAGGGAAGAGGCTTGGGAATGCTCTTGGGGTTGGTGTCTGACCTGAATGAGGGTTGTGCAAATGTTTGTAGTAACTGATTAACCTGGACACTTTTGTTTTGATTTTCTGTATTTGTGAAATTTCAGTTAAAGGGTTCTTGGAAAATCCAGTACTGTACTAAAGGGTTTAGAATGGAAAGAGGGCAGTCCCTACTTCACCCACTCCCTAATCTTCCCTGGTCCTGCGTAGCACAGCTACACTGAACTTTTCTGGTTGTATCCCCTGGTGCTCAATTGCCTTTTTAGAAAAATAAAAGGATACTTCTGTTTCTCATCAATTTTAGACTTTGTAGTTGACTTCTTCCCAGTAGAAGATTAAACTCTTTACAGTATCATCCCCATGCCCCAATTCCACATCATGTTATGGTTAAATTAGAAGTCAGTGCTTACACATTAGGACCGTGCAGATGTTTGCTACTGAACCAATGCTGCTCTTCGGCGTTGCTCATCTCTTGTGCATCCCTTTATTTTTCCTGAAGCTAATAATTGCCAGTTTTTTAATTTGCCTAGTTTATTTGTGTTTTTTTAAAACACCTTATTATAGAGATTACAAACATTACAGAAAGTATGTGCGTAATGTGATGAACCTTCATACCCAGCACTGGGCACCTTAGCCTGTGCCCAATGCTGCCCTTTTTATACTTAGCATTACTTGACCCCTTCCCAGCTCTTTGTTATTTAATAAGAGAAATATTGATTTTGTTGTTAAAGTCTGGATTCAACAAACTAGAAAACCAAGTTGATTGTTTTGAAGTGAAAATAGAAATTTTTTCCTAGTGTTTTTTTTTTTCCAATAACAACTCTGAAAATTGTTCAAATTTTACTTGTTGCAATAAATTATTAAAAATTCAAGTACATGTGGATAATCTGAAGTGTGTAACTTTGGGTAAGAAATACAGAACAATTATTAACCAAGATGGTTACTTTAATTATTTTAATTGTAAATGTTTTTTATTTAAGATTATTTGTTATTGTTAAATATTAAATAATCATTTGTTATTTTAATATCAGTACAGTTTTTCTCCCATATATTATGTATTTGCACATCTGTGTTTGCCTAGTTTAGTTGTAGGAAGAAAGGCAAACTATATTTTAGGCTTCTTATGCTGTTAAATAGGGAAATTGAAAGGTTGGAGATAGATATTTTTAGCTGTTATCCTCAACTAAATTCTCTTTTCTCTTAGGTGATAATGGAAATTATAATTGAGTAATCAGTGGTCTGCAGGTTGTTTCCTTCGTAGAAGTAAAGGGCTTGTAATATAAGTTAAGATTTCTCGTGAGTAACTGAATATGATTACTATCACTATATAATCAGTGTAAGGAAGAGAGGGCATGTCTGTCTGGAGCAGTCAGCATTTATTGAGTGCTTAACTATGTGCCAGGTACTGTTTAGGTGCTTTTTATATATTAATTCATTAATCTTCACAAAAATTTTGAAATAAATGAGTTCTGCAGTTTTTCCATATTACACATGAGAAAACTAGGCTAGGAAAGTTAATTTAATAACTATCCTCAAGCAGGTGGTAGAGCTGGGATTCTTACCTCAAACCTTTTAATTTCCCTAATGTAATTTTATGTATTTCAAAACTTGAGCTGTTTCTTTCACTTCAGGTAAAGGTGTTTGAGGTTGTTGAAATGTGACTTGCTTATAAAGGAGTTTATTTGTAATGCATGGTAGATTATTGTTTTGAAGTCATTAGATCCATTTTGGAGATTTACTGAATTTTCTGCTAATGGAATTATAAAGCTGTGATGTGCTGTAAATGTGACGAAAGGGCTTTGTGAACCCTCTGAAATTGTATGTAAAATTGTATTGTGTGTACTTGTACATATGTGTATTTTTCCAGTGAGAGGGTCTATAACTGTTGCTGAAACAGCTGTCATTTATTCCATTTCACAGTGTGGTCTGGCAGTCCCTGAATTCTTTGAAAGGTCTGTGAAGTTGAAACTGTGTTAATAATACTGAGAAAATATTTGCTGTTTTCACTATGTTGTCATTTGTACCATCGGTGCAAAAGCAGTGTGGGTAAATCTCGCTAGCACCTTAGCATGAATCCAGGTCCCGGCACCAAAAGGAAGTAGCAGTCATGGCACTCTTCATTTATATGTACCAGCCAGTTTTAAAAATGACCATTTTGCTTAGAATGTCCTGATGAAGCAGTAAAAATAATTAATTTTGCTAAATCTCGACTCTTGAACACATGTTAAATGTTCTGTGTGACAAAATGAAAAGTACACATAAAGCACTTCTGCAGACCAAGTGCAGTGGTTGTCTGGAGGAAACACATTGGCAGTTATTTGAGTTTTGAGCCTGAACATTACTTTTACTATAAAGAACTACTGAGAAACTGTGCTTATTCAAAAGTGGGTGTTTGGCAGACATTTTCTCTGGTGGTCAGTGAATTTGTTGCCATGATAAAATTTGTACTTTGAAGCGAAAATGAGAATTTTGGAAAATATGTGTCTGCTATCCTTAATTTGTAACTCCCCAGTACTTACAGATTTTTCAGATGTGATCAGTAGTAATACTAATGAATGTGATTTTTGATTTGTGTAATGTATCAACTTTTGGAAGATCTGTATAACTTTGAATTAGTATTTTACAAAGACCAGTGCCTGTAATGTTAAATAATCATGCATGAAAAAGTGCAGGATAGGGCATTGGATTTTAATGTAACAGACAGCTGATTAAGTTTCAGATTCCACACACCTCTAAGGAGCTACCAGTTGTTGAGTTTTGGTATACTATCAAAGGAGCATCTACAATTACCTGAGATGCCTATTAAAAACTCCTCCCTTTCCAACTATATACCTGAGAGAGGCTAGATTTTCTTCATATATTTAATTGACAGAACACTATGTAGATAGTGAATGCAGGAGCCAGTTAGGAGAGTCTGGGCACCTTCTGTTAAGCCAGACATCAAAGAAATTTGCAGTAATGTAAAATAATGGAGTTCTCACTATTTTTGGGGAGAATAACATCAATTTGTCATAAAATTTTTGTTAATGTGTAAGGTTTATTACTATTTTTAAATGAATAAATACTTGAAAGTTTAAAAGGTCTTTGGGGTCCTTGAGTTTTTGTAATGTAAGGAAATCCTGCCTTCCAGAAATATCTAACAACTGTTGAATTAGTGTGTTAATAGATTTCATTGTACTGATGCTTTAAAAGAGTCTCATGAACCACAAGATAAGTTACCAGAATAGTGTGCATCTTTTGTGCATGAATGTCTAAAGCTTTCCTGTAAAACTTTACTATGACTTGAGGTTTTCACAGGCTACTCCCTCACTATTGTTTAGATACCAATTTAGATCTGCCTTACACTCTTTCATCTGGTGATCTTGTTGAAGGAGGGGGGTACCTTTAGGAGTTTTAAAATACCTATTTTTAAGCTTGTCTTTTCCTTACAGAAATTAAATACCAGTATATATTTGCCAAAATACTTTAGCTCTAAAAGTTTTTTTAGGGCTTTTCCCACTCTCTCTCCTCAGGTCCAACTGTCATTAATACTAGGATTACTGAACCCGTCAGAGTCTTAGTATAGTGCCATTTCTGGGTTAGCTGCCTGGTCATTAGAAGTGAGTTGATGCCCTTGACATTGTGTTCTGTTTTGAGTTTGATGTGTCTTTCTTGGAAGAAAGGCATAAAATTGGCAGGGTAAGTTTCCAACTCTTACTATGAAAGGGAGAAGAGAGGGAAGGAATAGTGTTTCTCTTTAAATCCTACTTTAACGTCCAGCGTAATACTATTTTAAGATAGTTGGTGAATTTTCCATTCTAAGAATGTACTATTGGCTATTTTCTATTTTCAGTATTTTTGTGACCATTTTTTTTCTATCCATTTAAAAATTGTGTCAGAGTAGGTGGGACTTCAGATTAGCTGTGTCGATTTCCCATCCATGTTTAAACAAAGGGGTTATTAAAAAAGAAACAGCTGATTTTTTTTATTAATACAAATATTTTTAGTTAATATTAGCAGTAGTTGATTAAAATGTCATCTACATTTTTGCCTGTGGCATATGTGAAATCCTTGGCAAATTGTTGTTGAATGCTTCTATATGCCACTATACCAGCAGTTATATCTTATAATTTTAGTTTCTTTTGGTTGACTCCCTCTGAATGTTCCAGTAGCAGCTGGGATTTTATCTTCTGAAATCTTTGAATGATGTCTTTTATGCAGGTCAAGAGGGTTCAGGGACCAATAACCCTGTTTAAACTGAAGTTTTTCCATAGTTATGGGCCTACTGAAATGTGTAAGAGTAAAGGATGTATTTATAAGGTAATAATGGTTTTTAGGATGTTAAGAGGGTGGTGTTCTTTCTCAGGAATCCTTAGTACTCACTGCTCCTGATATAGCAGAAAGATGAATCTTGTCTTAGATATTGAACTTGACAAGTTTAGTATATTCCCATCTTAATTTTTTTTAATTAAAGGCTTCTGTCTCTTTACGCATGGGTAAAAATATTAGAGGGATATATTGGATTTTGAACCATTTGCTTGTTTTATATTTCATTTAGAAGGAATCTCAACTCTTCAGTGGCCTGTATTAAGAGAGGAAACCAAAATAGGTAAGAAGGAGGATTGGTGGGAAATTTTAAAAAATTTTATAAAGATCTACAAAATTGTTACCTTTCTGAATCTGCCATTGTAGAGTTTCAGGTCTTTGTGTGGAAGTGGAACTAGAATCTTTTTGGTGTTTCCCTGGATCTCTGTGTTTTTCCAGCTTATCACAGGATAAGAGTCCCTATCAGCTTGGAGTAGATGTTTCTGAGATAGCCTAAGAGGAAGCTTTAATACATTCTGTTGCTGAGAAGACTCTGTATCAAGTGAAACAGCCTGTTGTAGGAATAAATAATTCTTGTCAAATTCCTTTTCTAGGAATCATCATGCAAAAATGGTCATTACAGGAATTGGTAGTAGAGAAGGAATTGCTCCTAGTCTTTTTTTTTTTTTTTTTNTTAATGCATTTTTAATAATAAAAAACACACAGTTTACTATTTTAACCATTTTTAGGTGTATAGTTCAGTAGTGTTAACTATATTCACATTGTTGTGTAACAGGTCCCCAGAACTTTTTCATCTTACAAAACTGAAACTGGACCCATTAAACAACTTCCCATTCTCCCCTCCCTTCAGCCCCTGGTATCCACCATTCTGCTTTCTGTTTCTATGAATTTGTCTACTTTATCATGTAAGTGGAATCATACAGTATTTGTCTTTTCATGACTCACTTCTTGTCCTCAAGGTTCATCCATGTTGTAACATCTGACAGGATTTCCTTCTTTTTAAGGTTGAATAACATTACATTGTTGTATGTATAGACCACATTTTGTTTATCCATTCACAAGATAAGCCATTGATGGACGTTCAGGTTGCTTCCCCCTGTTAGCTATTGTGTGCTCCTAGTCTTTATATGTAGCTGGGGTTCTGTGGGAAGGAACAGTGTAAGTTGGAGGTGGACAGAAAGAGCCCTCAGCAGAACATGAAAGTAGGAAATACCTTAAAAAATACAGATTGGTACTGCTGTGAGACATGTTTATCCCAGATTAACAGTTTGAAAACTAGAACTGGATTACTTGATTTTGTTGGCTATTTCAGGGTGGGACTAGGCAAAACCCAAATTTTTGACCCAGGTTTCACCTCATTTGTTTTATACTTTCTAGTTTAAAAAAGAAAATCCCATGGATTTTATTTATGTTTCATTTTTTTGTAAAACTCCTTATGTTAACAACATAGACAGCCAATACATTAGTTGATGTATGTTCTAATTAAGCAAAGTCTTCAGCATTATAGGAAAATTTAATAACTGCATTGCATTTTCTTTGTAATGAAATTACAGATAAGGAATGATCAAGGTTGCATTTTTTACAATAGCTTCTGAGTAGACATTATTGTCATTTTATATACAAGGACACTGAAGCTCAAGGAAGTTGAGCAATGTTAACTTAAGATTATGAGTTAGTAAAGCTGTTCTGTCCGCTTTTTAGGTTTCAGCTTTGTTTCTGGGCAGTTCAGTTTAAAAAAAATATTGTTGATTAAATCAAAATCTCTGATTCTCATATGGAGTGGGTAGAGCCAAGGTGAGACCTGTTACACATCCACAAGTCAACGAGTGTGTGGTGAATGCCCAGTGTTGTGGAGAATGTGAAGAAAAGAGATGGTTCTTTTACTTTAGGTGTATTAGAGTCAATTTTATTAAAATAAGTGTTTTCCATAACACTGTGGCTTTTGGTATTAACTTGTTATGATACTAGGAGATCCTTTGTCTTTTATGACTAATAATCCCATGTAAATATTTTACAGGTAATAATGGGATGTGAATAGTACATTTTCCCTTTTTCAAGTTATTGTGATGCTATTTGATGTTGAGATGGTGCTATAGTACACTTAGCTGTTCCTTGGAGTTAAATGAAAATTACATGTATCTCAGGGCTTCAAAGACATAAATAATGTCTTCCAGGTTCTCTCAGTGGTTTAAAATGGTTGTGAGTTGCATTTACTGATGAATATTACTGGAGATTTCTCCAGGTAAATGTTTGTTGTAGCTTACAAGCCTTTTTCTTTCCTCTATATCCCATGTTTCAAAATCTTCATTTTAGCAGTTTTGGCAGTTCTTAAAAAGTTAAACATAGATTTACCATACAACAGCAATTGTATTCCTAGGTGTGTACCTAAGAGAATTGAAAACATGTCCACAACAACTTGTAAGGGAATATTTATAGCAACTTTATTTATTGTTTGTAATAGCCAAAAAATGGAAACAAACAAAATGTCTGACAACTGATGATGCGTAAAGAAAATGTGGTATATCCAATCCATATGATGAAATATGTAGCTATAGGAAGGAGTGAGGTACTGATATGTACTGCAACATGAGTGACCTTTGAAGACATGTTAAGTGAAGAAGCCAGTCACAAAGGACCACATATTATGATTCCATTCATAATGAATATCTGGAATAGGCAAATTTGGTGAGGAAGAAAGTAGATTTAGCAGTTGCTAGGGCTGGTGGAGGGGTAATAAGGGGAGTGACTGCCAGTAGATTACAGCATTTCTCTAAGGGGTGATGAAAATATTCTGGAACTAATAGGAGAAACAGGGTAGGATTCTTTTTTAAATGAGACTCTAAACAGTACAAGGGGTATATGTTGAAAATAGGTCTCCCTCTTACCTTATTCTCCCAGGTTCTGTGTCCCCAGAGATGCTGTCACAAATTTCTTATATATTGTTCCCAAAGTTTGCATATTTTTAACTTAAGAAAGCATGTTCATTTTAGATTTGAAAGAGGGAAAATACGTCCCAAAAATCCATGATAGACCACATCTGTAAGCCCCATCTTAGAGACGATCTGATGACTTGCTCCAGTAGCTGCCATTTTCTTTTAACTGGCCTGTGATTTCTCTACCTTCAGTCTGAAGAGTTGCTGAGGTGGTTTTACGTGTTTGCGATGTGCATTTGGATATGCAATTTTAGTGGACTCTCAATATTAAAGCTAAGTCAAATTTATAATTGATAACTTAATAAACTATCAAAGTCTTTAAAAAGAACAGTTGGGATTCATTCATGCCCCGTCTGTGTGTCTTCCCCTTACTAAATTATAAATTAGGCCATGAGCTTTCTGCAGTTGATGTTACTGTTCTGGTGATGTCTGAAGTGACCAGGTCTTATTTTGGTGGTTACTAAATTACGACTATACTAGGCATTATTCTTTTTTCCTTCTAATGTATTTTTTATTTGACTGTTCAGTAAGACATGGGTCCTTCGGTTCACATGTCCACCATCTCTCATTCTCAACTGAATTTCTTGGGAATTTTGTTAACATTGTTTAAAATGCGAAAATGTCATGATTTGTATACTGCTGTAGTTGATGAGAATATACTTAATTAAATTCTTGCTGTGTGGTAATTTATTAGTATTAAGAATTTTTAATCTTTAAGGAAAAGTAACTTTCTGAATATAAATATAAAATGTCATATATTTAAAAAAATAAGTGCTCAAAGAACTGGCTGTCTCTCCCATTGTAAGTGCTTTATGTGCATTATCTCATAATCTTCCCAACCAACCTCTGAGGATAGGTATTATTTTCATTTAAAGATGAATAAATCAAGGTTTACATGAAGTAACTTGACTAAGGTCACACAGTTTATAAGTGGGGGAGCCACGGGTTGAACCTCGGTTCTTATGACTTTGGAATTACCATAAATAAAAATGAAATAAAATCACATATAATCTCACATTTTTAGATAATGTCTGTTAACATTTTGGCATAGATCTTTCCATTGGAGAGTCCTTTATGCTGTGAATCTATATTTTCAAAACTAGCATTATCTATAATTTTGTATTATGCTTTTTTCAGTTAACATCTAAGAATAAATATCTGTGTGGTATTTTAATTGGGTGTCTAGTGTGTTTAATTTGGACATTCTGGTTGTTTACAATTTTTGCTATTATAAATTTATGATGAACATCCTTGTAAAAATCTTACTATTTTAGAGTTAATTTCTGGAAGTGGAATTGCTGGTGAAAAGGTGTGATGTCTTTTTATGGCTTATGGTATGTATCGCCTTTGAGAGTTGGTGTTGGTTTTACTTCTTCCAGCAGTGAATGGGTGCGCGCATTTCCTCACCTGGTGACAATATCTAAGTCAATATTACCATTCAGAAAAATCTTTTCCACTTACCTGTTTGAGTGTATATAAGTTTATAGATGCTTTTCGTGTCCTTGGTTTTTCCTATTGTTTGTAATAGCATAGCCCTTTTCCCCAGCTTGAATCATATAATAGGTGAGGAAAGTTGTATGGAAGCTCAAACAAATAATTTGGGTCTAAAGTAGATGGAAAAAGCTCTCTAAATGAAGCGATTTTTTGTTTCTGGCAGGCAAAGGAAGGCAGAGAATAAGGAAACGAATATTCGAGAACTGCTATGAGTTAGTTTTATTATCTGTAAGTGGAGATAATTAATAGTATTTGCTTGTTATTCAGGATTAAATGTACATGAGTGCTTATTAGTTTTGGCACATACTAAGGACTCAGAAAATTTAGTTGGTGCAGTTTAGTTTTTTTAATGCATGATTAACAGAAATAACAGTAACAATTAACAGGAAACTGAAAGCTTATTTGAGTCCACAGGTCAGGGTAAACTAGTTGTTGGAGCAGTTTATGAGTGCTTTAAATAAGTGTATGTTGTATAAATGAATACAGCTTACCTTGGTTAGGTTAGGAGTTTGGGAAATCCAAAGAGAGAAATAGGAAGATTAGTTTAATCAGAATTGGGGTTAGGCTGGGGTCTGGCACTTTGACTATTAATTTGACTAATTTAAAATTAATGTGTGGCAACAAAAGTTCAAGCTTGTTCCTTATTTTTGTTTCATTTTCCTGTTCTCATGTTCCTTCTGTGTTTTGTTCTTTCCTCTGATTTTATACTCTACATCTTCTCTATAAAGAATAACGTAATTGGAGATTTTGAACATGCACTTAAGCCCAAAGCATCCTTTACTATTAGTTTTCATTTTCCTTTAACCAGTACTAGTGGGGCTGGGAGAGCCTCTGAAAGTGTGATCTCAGGAAAAGC